CCATTTTAACATCCTTAAATGTTAACTTCTTTCCCAATTCATGATTCCGTTTGTTCTCCTTCAATTACTACCCTGATATTCTCTCTGTCTGACCTTGAATATTTGTTTACCTGATGCTGTTCACCTTGTCGTGAGATACCGCTTGATTTCCATATCTTTCTTCTGGTTTGCCTTTAACACAGCCTCGTTTATATTATTCATGCACTTCTTGTCATGTAGTATTGCGAGCAATCAGTCGGAAGAAACACCACCTATGGTCATATTTGGGATTCATCAAATGGATGGTTTTGTCTCTCACCAAGTTATAGTTCCTACTGATACTCGAACATGGAGCCCATACCGGCTCAATAGCCTAGTGGATAACACTGTGGTGTTTGGAATGATCGTTACCGAGTTCACTCACTGGAATTCAGATAAATTCAGCTGACAAGTGAGTACCGGATAGGACGAAACATGGGTGGTGGATTACACTACTAACCCTATCCATCATTAATATCTAATTATCCATCGTTTGCTAAAATACACTGGATTGGTTCATCAAAATCATGTTGTCCTCCATTTGGTGATGTTCATCATGCATTCACATCAGTTAGAGAACAACTAACAACTATCAAGGAGTATTAATTCTCTGTAGTCGGCGATATATCAGTACTGTGCATTAACTAAAATTTGAAGTATCTCCATGCGCCTTATTGTTTGATCTGATATAACAAACATTAAGTTTTCAGGCTATTGAATGAAAAGCTTTGATCTACGTTCTTTCTACCCACATGCTTCTGCATGTACATACTTATGAACCGTCAACATGAGGTGTAGTTAAGGAAAGTGAGGTGGTTGTTTATCCCAACTGTATTCATCATTTCATGTGGAATTGCTTCCAAGAAACAAGGGGTTAGTAATAAAAAAGGGGTTGCCAATTATGTCAACAAGGATTGTGGAGTATATGTCAAGTAACACTGTTCTTCTTTGTTCTTCATTTAGATAAAACTGTGACGTGACTTTGTAGAGAAGTTTTAAGCTAGCAGTATATATAATTAATGTGAATAAAGTGAAGTGAAACGTTTTAATGTCTCGTTAACACTAAGCCTCAATGAACTGTTATTTCATATCTTATATGTGTCGACCCTCTTTGGAATGTCAATGCTCAGAACTTCCTGGTATTATTGTGTATTCTTCTCCGGTGGTACTGGCAGTGGATACTGAAGTTATTCAAAGTGACATTCAGACCTCGTCTAATAACAATAATAATAATCTGAGATTATGGATTCAGTGCGATGTACGTAGCAAATATAAAATAATCCATCTTTTAATAGAAAGAGAGAGAACAAAGCCAATGTGGAACCCCTCACACAAGTGCATCGCCTCAAGTTGCCACACTTCACTGTAGTACACGAAGAACAGGTGGACACAAAACGAGTGATAAAGTAGTGTGGAAGAATAAACAATCTGAAGATGAAGGTTAGTGAAAATATTCAAGCTTGAGAAGACGCCAAATAGTGTAGTGTGTGTCTGCGCCATTGTGAACGATTTTCAGCCACGTCCTCAACCAATGATTCCCTTCTTCTCACGGACCCCAACCAGACAGTCTACATCTCCCAACACAGATCAAGCCAACAGTCAGGGACTTCATCCATTCGTGCCACTCTGAACCCTTTTCCTTCCTAATCCAACTTACACTAGCACGACACGTCGAGGTAGGTGGTGGCTCGGCAGGAGCAGCTCACTACATGTCCACGCTATGTTAGTCGACCAAGGTTCACAACCTCGTCAATTTACTTGCTGGCCTGTCTTGCCCAGTAGAAGGTAAATACCTCTGAAGTCAGACGTGCATAGGGTCGTGTCCACCAGCATGTCTATGACAAAGTTAAATAAGAACGGTGACACTGGATATCCATGCCGGACACTACACTACTTGTTCTTGTCAACTCACTTGACAACTCTCATATCCCTAACCTTTAATGACCATGTTTCGCAGTTAATAAGTTAGACAGCGAACCACTGTGTAAAACAATCGACCCTTAGTGTGCGTGCAACCGTACATTTTGCCAGTAATATAGATTAGGAAATTCCGATCAACCCTTTTGCATTCGTCTTGGTATTTCGTCAATCTCCGACAACTCAAGTGAAGTGATCAAATGCGCTGAATCACTTCAGTCCCTATTGTTACATGAGGTATTGACACAGATCAGTTCTGAAGTAGTAATTTCGACTAGAATTGTCGGAGAAACATCGCAAATCCACTCAAACCGTTACTCCTGGTGTTCAGATAACTCTGCATATTGTCAGCACCTTCACTCATTACAACTACTTCTTTCACCTACACGAATTCAGCTTTTGTTTAGTTAGACTACAAGGAGGAGATCTGCCATCATAAAATAGTCGTCCACAATGAAACAAAACTAAAAAGAGAAAGAGAAAGAAAGTGAATATCCTTGCCAAACAACATTCGATGTAGACAGCTCATATAGGCTATAACAAGACGATGAATAATGCTAGCTAGCTAGGTGTGTGTAGACTTTCCGGGGTCACATTCATAATCATTAACAAGTAGGTTAAACTAAATCTACTGTGTTTCATTCACCACAGTAACAGTCATGTAAACCAAGTCTATCCCCATTTGGAAAATGTCAACCACTAGTCATTGTATAGGATCGTGATAAAAAATTGTTTATGTAGTTTGAATTACTAACAAACTATCCCTCCTCTTTTCCTCCTTATATGATCCATTCGTTGTCATTGACAAACAACATTTATGATTTTCATTCATGATATTCACATGGACAGAATCGAAATCCACTCAGCAATCACCTGAATAAGATCAATAATGTAGAAGAAAACTCGGCTATTGCAATGCATGCATTAACACACAAGCACACGATAGGGTGGGTGGGATGAAGCCACTGTACTTAAGTCCAATATAACTAGGTGGAGATTGATTACTCAATCTTTCTTCATCGAATCAACACTGAACACATGTAATAGAGATGACGCAACACCTATACCAGAGATATGGAAAATTTTGCTACCAATAACAACAACTCACATAAAGTGACGTAACTATAAAAATCGAATGTCGAAAGTGTTGTGGGATTACATTGATATGATTATGAGCAATGATAATTTATGCTTGAAACATCATCAAGTAAATAATACTAGATCACTGTGTGTTATATGTAAATCAAATAATCAAATCTAATATGGAATTAATTTCTACCACAGTGCCCAAGTTTTACACCTATATTAACGAAACGAGGAATTAAACATATAATGTAAAACACTAACTACACTGGACAAAGAAGTCAAGAAGAGTGGGCGCAAAGACAAAAGGCACTTCTACGAAACACTGGCAAATGAAGCAGAACAGGCTGTTGGTAGGAGAGACCTGACAGCATTGTATCAAATAACCAGGTCACTTTCTCGGAGGAGATCAACACAGATGAAACCAATGAAAGATGATGAAGGAAATATAATTACCAAAGAAGGGGATCAAAAGAGACGACGGCTGACCACTTCAAAACACTCACATATTTGTTTATGTAGCACCTTAGTGAATTAATGAATTGTCACCTCATCTTGTTATTTGTGATACACAGGTTGTTTATATCCTTATTCTCGTAATGTATATTTTTCATTAAAGAGTTGAATAGTAGACAGATAGGTTGTTTGCAATCAGTTAATTGACTGAATATAGAAATCTTTATAATAAGACGTGGCAATACTGCTACTCCTCCTACTACGTTGTTGTTTTTTTAATCCAATTAGTCTGTTTGGTGTGAGTAGATGTGAAGAAATGAATGCCTCAGATTGCACAATGTAGCAAACCCAATCGATAAAGGCATAACTTCATTGACTAAAGGATATACCGATAAATATCATGTGAAGATGATGTAACTCGAATGGAGGAATCCCTCATCGATGAAAATGATGAAGTCACCTCTTCATCTTCCTAATACTACTCATAATTTGCATTTGATCATATCATCAATGATAACTTCTCTCATAGATTGTCTTCAAAATTCAATATATTTGTTGTTTCACTTCAACCGGCATACAGTCATGATATTTACGAGGCAGGTTTTATATATTTCAATTAGGAAATACCTTACTGATTCAACGAATCATTGTTTCATGTTGTTTTTTGGTGAAACACATGCTGGTCACTTCTTTACACTTGTAACGTTTTTTATTTCATCACACACACCAATTGAAATTCTGTGTCTTTGGGTCTTCATGATCCTCAGCGAGTTTAATGATCTTTACATATGATAGACGACGTCAGGTGTGTTTTCATAAACCGACGAGGTTAAAGGTAAGTCAAAATTGCTTTGATGAACTTTATGCATACGTGACCAGTGCTTCCTACTGACTGCATGTTAGTGAACACTGCCGATTTAATAATTTTCTTCTCCATTCTACATTGCAAGAGGAGTGTGCTACGACGAGATTGCGAAAGCAGAATGTTAAAGCAATGACTGTTCGACGTCTGCTTAAGATTACTCCAATACTTCTCACCGAAATACATATTTCCACATGGAGGCAAATGCATTTCCACCACTAATGCCCATCAATTAAGCTACAACTAAAGGAAGTCACTAGTGTTGAACACCTTGCAACGTGTGCCAACTACTGACTTGTTTCCATAGTCTACATGTCTCCGAAAATGTTGAAGCATTTTCAAAATATATCAACCGGTAGACTTCTCCTCTACGGAATGCGGGACTCCTCATAACAAACTGACAATCTGCAATCGTGTAGTCATTGGCATTTTTCCTATTATGCGCACCTGAATGATAGTCGCCTATGCATAGAAACGATGGTTTCCCCAATCATGAGAACAGTGTGCACACAGCCTTACCAACCCATAAGTATACTCAAAAAACAGTCATAACGAATTGAAGCGTGTATTATGAGGAACAATAGCATTAGATTTTGCATGATAAAATATGTCTGTGCAAACAGTCATACATGAATGTCAATCAAGTAGGCAGGCTGAATGTCGTTTACCTATAGGAGAAGAAAAGATGTCGACACGTTAGATGATACATGGAAAGTATTCTTGAAATTCAATTTCGAAAAGCAACACAGACTTGCATCGACCTACTTTTTATCATCTATTCTTTCCACACTAAGGTCAATGTGTACAAGTTTACTAAGATAGGTGTAGTGTAAAAACAAACTGTTTCTGTACACTCAAAGGTGGCTTGAATTGATGGATTGCTGTCGCCCTCATAAATCTCAGTATACGTCCCTGTATACTGATAACTGTTTGAGTATGAATTTTGTGTCAGCATATGGCACAGGTAAAGTAGTGACGGACTAAGATAATGCAGGAATGCCTAACAACACGAGATGACAGATCTGATGGTGAGGACTTGTGGAAACCACCCGTATCTGAGACCATTAAACCCAATATACATCCTTCACTCTCCCTCCCCTCAACATTACAATCACTAAATTATCCACAGAGAAGAACTTAGGACTAAACGTTTCTGACACACTGGATACTACTGGTATTTATAAGGGAATGGCAGCAAAGGCGAACGCCATTATGCACTTTCTAAGAAGGCAAGTCGGATTGTTAACCCTAGAGTTAGTCCTCATGGTATCCAAAACCTATGTTAGACCACACCTAGAGGTGTTCAACACCATAGCCCTCCATTACTAAAAAGAGACGCAAATTCTCTTGAGAGAAGGTACAAAGAAGAGGAGCAATAAAGTTGGTTGTCGGACTAAACAATCACTCTGAATCAACTGCTTGCTTCTTGCATCCATTAAGGTGCAATCATATTTGTGCACTAACTCGTGATCAGAGTACAGGAAGAAAGTCCAAAAGGAGTGGCTATTCTCCACCGACGGTTCATCGTAGTATGATCTGAGAACAATGATTACACTATTGTTGACAATAGGTAGAAACGGACGAGGATAACAAATCAGAATACAGAGGTAGAACTTGGTGGATATGTTACAATATGAACACAGGTTAATTTGTTTGATTGACACCTAACAAAGTCGAAGTGTATTGTTTGTCAGATGATGTTTCGTATCCACTTAACTGACCTTCTACACAACTGACAGATAAATTGTGTGTCTGTACTCTTCAAACAGCAAGTTGAAGTGGGGATATAATAAGTTAGTTGTTATTTAGAGAAATGTAGAGTGACTACGCTGGTGTTACTGCAATCAACTTTGAATCATTCAACCACTGATACTTTGAGAACTGCTTCTTTACTCATCATGACTGCTGAAATCACAAATGAGAGTTTCCTTGCCACTGGCGGTTGTTTGGTGAAAATGAAGACAATAAGAAACAGACTGTTTATAGTTGAAATGTAGACTTAAGCTGTGAGAATTTTTCTACTATTCTCATCCTATTCCACATCGACTATTGGGTAGCAGTTTAAAGAAGATACCATTCGCGGCAAAAGTGAGTATTATGCACTTAAATGACATAATTAATCATTACTTAGTGCAAATACGATTTGCTTTGCTCTATACCAGTTGGTCACTTAATGATATATTTAGCTTACAACCAAGGTTATATGGTGAAAACATTCAGCATACAATTGAGTACTAATCTTGTCACAACAATAACCATATGCAACTGTGTGCATCAGAGCATGGTACAAAGCAACTAGGAAAGAATCAGTGGAGTGATCTCGTTGTCTAGGAACAAGGGCCTAAAGCTCACGATTCCATGGATTGCGATTGAGCCAATCAGACAATTTCATCTACTACTAGGAACTACTCAGCCTGACGGGATGATTTCGCCAACCAGCCAGATACATCGAAGTGAGCTAAACATTGGATAACCGTTTCATTCGCTTGGGACAGAATTCATCAGTGGTGTAACCCCATGGATTCAGTTCATACAGCCGGAATAGGTTAGATTACCCAAGTTGTTCAGTAGTAGTATACTACACTACATAGTTCATGGCATTTTTGTGAATGTAAACTGCCGATAGGTGGTTTTCAAAGGAAACCCTGTTGACTGGCAGGCACTACTACACTCGAGGTGGCAGTTGAAAAACTACTCGGTTGTGAAAACTGTCAAGGTGGATCGTGCAATTTGTAAATCATCTGCAAACTGAACACTCTATTGTAGTGGGTATATGGTACATTTTCGGTTTGTATACACAATCATACAGCATGAATACAACACACTACTTATACCACACGGCAAATCTGTCAGAGTCGTTGTGCACCTGACACAGCGAGCTGTTTCATCCTAGTTAGGACCAAGATTAGCACTGTTAAATATCAAACACTTCAGTCACTAGGGTCCCACTTTTTTCAGGTCATAACATAACGCCTTCATCATCATCATCATCCAATGTCACCGGTGAGTAGCTGCCCGATCACCTACTACTCCACAGATTGGATCACACGCGATAGGTCCTGACTTTCTTATCGAGATTTAATCCCTCGAAATTCTAGTCGGATGCTGCGCATCGATGATAATCACTCTGCACAGGACAAATTAATTGACAGAGGTGGGTATTAGCGGCCTAGTGAACAACACACACACACACAGAGCATTGTAATCGACAGGTTCACAGCTATGCAAAATAACTTACATAGTAATTAAATAAATTAACAAAATGATTCCGTTTGTGGCTTGTTCAACAGGAAACAACTTCTGTCAGTTGAAAACGGAGGCGGCATAGAAGATGGTAAAACGAGTTGATTGAGTGTTCACAGTATCACCATCATTTGATAATTGGCATAGATGAGTGGTTGAGTTTTGTGAATTGGTTAAGGCGAATAGCTACTGAGATTGATTTGTTGGCTGATGCTGTTGATGATGGTTATAAGGATGAGGATGCTGTCGCTGAGCTGATGATTGTATTGAAGACCTGAGACATTGATCAGTAGTTGCAGTTGAACTACTCAGTGAAGTCAATGAATCAGTGTAGCGACGCATACTTGGACCATTCGAAGTGGTATTCCTATTACAACTACTGTTGTTGCGCACTTGATCTCTAGTTTGCACACATAAATGCATACGCACAAACCAATGTTTCGCTTGGCATACCCTATTGCAATACGATGTATTCCAGCAACAATAGTAATATGCTATACGTCCACAATAAGCGCACTGAAGTGTAGAAAAACGTGAACAGAAAAAAAAAAGAAAGAATCACCGTCATTCGCTTACAGACAGATTAATAACTGCCTTACGTTCATTCATTCATTCAGTAGTTATACATACATTTGTGCATGCTACAAAGATAATCGATCGTCCCGAAAATGGCTGTTCGACTTGTGTATCACAACAACACAACAAGTCACACTGACTGGAACGCTCATTTTCTCAACATCCTACCATACCTTAAGGGTATGTAAGATAGTGGTAGGATAAAAGGCAGTTGCATTGAGGTGTAAATTGCTACGCCCTGACATAAGTCAGAGAGCGAAGTCGTACTGCTGGCTGCCTGGACGGCCATATGACAGTAGTAAAGTGTTTCCATCGGATGACCAGCAGGGACATTCATTTGTCTTTCCTTCACACTATATGAAACTTCAGATTCTAGGTGAAGCAAACATTTCAATCAACAGAATACACAGTAACCAGACGATACTCACTTGAAATCTTATGGCTTCACTTTATGTCTAGCTTGGTTTTGAGACGTTAGCGTTAGACGAAGACACAAATGTATAACTAAGTGCTAGATAGGAACACATAATTGCACTCGATCGACGTAAATACTCATAGCCTTGAGAAGTCCCCACAATACAATTTTAAGATGACAACCTCAATCATGTTCGTAACTGAGGGTGCATGTATTCGTAATAACTATTCAATGCTAACCCAACTCATGAGAAAGCTAGTCTGCATTAGGGCACTGCTGTTTGTCTGTCGCATGCAGCGGTGAACATAGTGGAAAGTATTCAAGAAGTAAGTTATCCCTGAAATATGGTCAAGCAAGCAAAACAAAATGATGCACCACCCTACTCTCACCCTACCCCAACCAAAAATGAATTCATCAACAAATCATAATCAATTGCACACAAACTAACCCATTGACATCGTTTCACTGCATCAACAATCTGTATAACATCTTCCCATATTCTACCCGCTGACTCTACAACAGTCATTAGTTCATAACTCCAAACTCTGCGTAATTCAGCTATTCGACGATGCATCTCCAGTGTCATCTCAGCACGTGTATACGCCAGCAGAGCATTTAAGCGTTGATTCTCTTGTTCCATACGCAAAATTTCTGCTTCCATTAAACACTCCTGAAAAGTTGGTGGACGATGACCAAATTTTGAAGGTGATGAAGTGGGAACAACGTCAGTCTGAACTGTTATACATTCCGTTGCTTTAGACGCTTTCAAGGAATTATCTACACAGAAAGAAGATGCTAATGCTGAGTCTAGATCAATATTGTGATATGGAACAATATTTTCATCAGTTTGAACAGCAACATCTGAAAATATTGGAAGTGATTGCGTTGTGTCATTTCAACTTATATAAATGATGGTGGTTTATGAGATGGGAGAGTTGTGAAGGGGGCGGGGTGTGGGGGGGGTGGGCGAACTGCCTGATTCTCACGTCTCGTTTGCGGAAAGGACAGAGAGAGGAGAGACTGACTGACTGACTGACTGACCAACCTGTTCATGAATGGTCGTCAATCGAGACCAATGGCGCACGTTGAAAGTCAGTATAGTAGTAGTAGTAGTAGTAGTAGTAGTAGTAGTAGTAGTAGTAGTAGTAGTAGTAGTAGTAGTAGTAGTAGTAGAAGTAATACTGAATATAAATAGCCGAGCCGAATATCACATGCTTAAAATAATTACAGCGAGAGAAATTTGTTTTCGGCTAATTGGTTGGTGCCAAGGGGAAAAGTGGTTTTCGTTAGCTGCACTATTATCGCTAGTATCCTTTTCATGATGATGATGATGATGATGAAGAAGTCTGTCACAGTCTATCATAAGCAAAACAAGACCTGCTGCAACTTCGACAAGAGAAGCAATTTGACAAAGCAGAAGAAGCCCGAGAAAGTGTTTCTTATTCAGGCGTTGACTACTAAATTATCAGTCAGTCAGTCAGTCAGTGAGTCAGTCAGTCAGTCAGTCAGTGAGTCGGCAGAGAGTGAGCGGTCGGAGAAGTGAACACAAAAATCTTGGTTCTGCTGTCAACTGAATTCATTATCCTGCTCTACACAAACTCATCTCACCTTTGCATCAATCTCATTGCTTTACAGGGAGCAAGAGAACAAAGAAGAAGGAGACGAGGAAGAAGAAGAAGAAGAAGAAGAAGAAGATCTATTTTCTGCTACAAAAGTCTATATCTCTTATTACCAGAAATTGTGGTCGAGTGAGCACAAGAATTTTATCTATCCTGTGCTAAACACAATATATCTCATAAACGTGAGTTTATATGACATTTATCATTATTATTACTATTATTATTATTATTATTATTATTATTATTATTATTGTAATTATTATTATTATTATTACTGGACACATCGTTCAATCAAATGGATAATATTGACTAGCCTATTATGCGAGTAGAGTGAATTTACGATCACATGAGATGAGACGAGATGAGATGAGATGAGACCTGTTGAAATGTTTGTTATTTGTTCTCTAGTCATTATCCCCCGATGTTGATGACTGACTGATATGCGAACGAGATGTCTGAGGAATGACCGACTGAGTGAGTCAGTGAGTGAGTGAGTGGGTGAGTGGGTGGGTGGGTGGCTAGGGCTGGTAATATCTTAGATAATACGAATTAGTGGTTGACTGACTGACTGACTCTGGGTGAAATGGGCCACAATGGCACAGATTTAGTCACTCTTTTACGTCGTCTTCTAATCTAAAGCTAAGCTTGACTAGGTGTGATATTTTCAATTTCCCTCTTCCTCTTCTTCTTCTCATTGCCTTGCTTGCCTTGCCTTGCCTTGCTTCCTACCATACACTTTTTGTTTGGCTACTTTGATGATATGAGTCTTTTCTCTGACATTGCTACTACTCGTGTGGAATTCGTCGGCAGCTAACTCTAAACGATCGATCGATCGATCGATCCACTTGTTTACTTTACTTGCAAGGCTTTACAATGATTTCGTCTATCTGAAAACTTTGTCTCACCCTAACCTCCTAACTTTACAGACAGAAGATAGACAGACGACTGTGGGTGTCAAGCCTAATCAATTCTACAATAATAGAACGAAAATATTACCTACTTACTTACTTGGTAGATGTAAATGTAAGTAACTCCTTTATGACTTGAGCAATTTGATGATTGTGAAATGATCGGCTGGTATAGACAGACAGTTGGCGGATTCCACTCCACTCCAGTCCAGTCCAGTCCAGTCCAGTCCAGTCCAGTCCAGTCCAGTCCAGTCCAGTCCAGTCCAGTCCAGTCCAGTCCAGGGGTTGAAGGCTGATAGAGAGGTAGTGAGGGGGAATCGATCAATTGATACACAGTTAGTTAGTTAGTCAGTCGTATTATTGTTATGCAAACAAAAAGCATTTTTTCAGGCATATGGATGGATTTGTAAGGTTGATTGATTGATTATCAAATCGAGTTGGTAGGCAATTTCTGTACGATTTCGATCAAATCTTGTATAATTTTATATGATTTTGGAATGAATATAAACCTCCAGGTCACCCCTTCAATCATCAATGTAATAAATTAGTAGTGGTAGTAGTAGTAGTTCGAAAGGTAGTTTATATGCAACATTATTTGACTGACTGATTTTGAAAGGAGGCCAGATATTTTTGAAGGGATGTTGTTGTTAATGGAATGGAATGAGCAATCATGAGAAATTATACGTTTCAATTATACGTTTCACACGTGAAGTAGAATTGTCTCATTCTCTGTGAATTTCACCTTAGCACAAGTGCTTACAGATAGCGTTGGGTAAAGAAGCTATGTACCGATTTTGAAAAGCACCATTATCACCCTCATCATTATTATGATCATGATGAAACGTATAATTTCTCATGATTGCTCATTCCATTCCATTAACAACAACATCCCTTCAAAAATATCTGGCCTCCTTTCAAAATCAGTCAGTCAAATAATGTTGCATATAAACTACCTTTCGAACTACTACTACTACCACTACTAATTTATTACATTGATGATTGAAGGGGTGACCTGGAGGTTTATATTCATTCCAAAATCATATAAAATTATACAAGATTTGATCGAAATCGTACAGAAATTGCCTACCAACTCGATTTGATAATCAATCAATCAACCTTACAAATCCATCCATATGCCTGAAAAAATGCTTTTTGTTTGCATAACAATAATACGACTGACTAACTAACTAACTGTGTATCAATTGATCGATTCCCCCCTCACTACCTCTCTATCAGCCTTCAACCCCTGGACTGGACTGGACTGGACTGGACTGGACTGGACTGGACTGGACTGGACTGGACTGGACTGGACTGGACTGGACTGGATGGAGTGGAGTGGAGTGGAGTGGAATCCGCCAACTGTCTGTCTATACCAGCCGATCATTTCACAATCATCAAATTGCTCAAGTCATAAAGGAGTTACTTACATCTACATCTACCAAGTAAGTAAGTAGGTAATATTTTCGTTCTATTATTGTAGAATTGATTAGGCTTGACACCCACAGTCGTCTTTCTCTCGCTGTCTCTGCAACACCACGACCCCTACCCCTACTCCTACTCCTACTCCTTCTCCATATCACTTTCAGCATCAGCATGAGATTACAATTTTCATGATAAATAATTGACCTGTTCAAATGTTGCAGCCTGTTATTCATTGAAAACCAAATCATGATCACAATCATGATGATGGCGCATGAAGTGGATCCATGATAATAAATAGTTGACCTGTTCAAATGTTGCAGCCTGTTATCCATTTGAAACAAAATCATGATCACAATCATGATGATGGTGATGATGGTGCTTGTCAAAATCGGTACACAGCTTCTTTACCCAACGCTATCTGTAAGCACTTGTGCGGAGGTGAAATTCACAGAGAATGAGACAATTCTACTTCACGTGTGGATAAAAAACTATTTGCGTTATATTATCCTCTTGTACAGAGATTCCACTTGAAATGCATTCCACTCAGAATGGAAGAATTTGCAGCAAATTACATCATTTCACATTTTATATTAATGACCGTAGACGAGGACAATTGCATTCAACTTAAGTTTTTGTGCATCAAAGAATGTGAATATTTTTTTAATTAGTAATTTTTAGTAGTTTGGGACTATGGAAATAATTCGGGAATGAAAATTATGTAAGAAATACGAAAATATCTGACAATGTGAATGAATCAATGTGAGTTGAAGTCAAGAAGTGAGGAATTCATAGCAAATGTGTAGATAGTTGCAAGTGATTAAGCCAAACAGAAATATTTGACTGACCTAACGAAAATTGTTTACATAGTAGCAATATTAAAATTAAACTATTATTAAAGCTTGTGAACTAGACAAGTAATGGAAAGTTTGATTCTGCACACAAAATACTGGTTCCGATTGTTGTATTGTCAGAGATTCAGGAATAGAAAATAGGCATTTCCCCAGCCTCTTTGTGAAGATTACGTCGTATTTTGTAGACCAGTGCAAAGGAAGGAATCTTCCAGAACTGTTTACACTATCAGCCAAACATTGTAATAAGGTGATGTTGATTGACATGTATTGACCTTTAGTGAGAAATTCTGGGTGTTGCTGTTGACGTTGGACAATCTGTAACTATTCTGCTCATTTAAATTATATATATATATATATATATATATATATATATATATATATATATATATATATATATATATATATATGCATATTTGGCATCTGAATTGAACGTCTTCATCATTTATTGCCTAAAGTTTTCTATTATTCATCACTCAGTCACCTAAAGTACATCACAGATACTCACGTTTGATCATCCTTTGAACAGAAAAGCATTTACTTTAATCAACATCATATAATGGGTAGGTCAGCTCAGAGTGGATAAAATGACTGACATCTGAATGATTTTTTAAAACTACACTGGAACCAACACATGTGATATTTTTGCTTCTTTTTGAAATACCAACGTATTCTTGTTATGCTCCTGAATAGTTCTACTAAAGCTGACTTATTCAGCGTTGCATTAAGACCTCCAAACATACTTACATAACGTGACAACAACCTCTCTCACAAGTAATCATATCCTGTCTAACTGGGAACTCTCCCTGAAGTTAGAAGAAACTTCCTCATCATTGCGTGTCGCTTTCAGAAACCAATCGTAATCTCCGGCACAAATAAAGTTTCGATCAAGCTATATCCTAAGCTTGCTCTCATTTAAAAACAAATACAGGGAATAAACATTGGATGTTATGAAAATGCCAGGTAAATTGACTTCATAATTATGTTTTCTTCAGAAACACTATACTAACAGATAGAAGATACGGTGATTTCAGGAGAAAGATGATAAGGAAAAAAATTAGAACAAACGCTTAACGTTGTTTGGATTAAAGCGAACACATTTTTGGGCAGATGACCTCCACAGCAAAAAATTTTAATGATTACTGAATAGCGTTGTATTCCAGCGGCAATGACGCTGATGATGTTAATGTCCTCACTGTCGCTTAGATAACTTGTTTCGAGGGTCTACTCCATCAGATTTCTATGAGACTAGATTTTTTTCTTCTACAACATGTAGCAGAAGTATTTGGATGGTTGTCAACATGTGATATCCCGAAGAAATTTTTGAGAAATTTATAAGACCCCTACGAAGTGACATTAAAAAGCAGACTCTTGATATCTCATTCGAGTAGTATGGATGATCAACATTACCGTTCTACTAACTGAACTATCGACAGTGAAGCGTTAAATAACAGATAAATAACAGAACTCCTAAATGGAGTACTACAACCAATTTTCATTGCATAGAAATCATTAACAAATACACCTATAGTAACTTTTGTAAGACTGAATACTCGTTGACTTTAGGTATGAATAGATTCTTGTTTTGAGATGGATAGAGGCAGGCCTGACTCTGAATCAGTAATGTGATAGGTATTCAACGTGTATTTTCCACACAAAAGGATAATTAACTCACTGCTCTGAATGAGTGAAATTATGCTACAAAAGTGACTTCTGAAGCCAAAAAACTTACTATACTTGAACACTTTCAGAAGCAGGGTAATTCTAGTATAAAAAGTTGCATTGCTTTGAATAGTGACTCCTTTTGCATAAGCAGAAGTTGAGATCGATAATGTTTTATGAGGTTTGAGCGAATGCATCTATTAACAATGTAGTAGCACACGTTTCCGATGACTTATTCAGACCCTAAGTGAACTGTAAAAAAGTGGATAAGTTACTTCCACAATGAAGTATAGTCGGAATCTTGAGGTCTTGTAAAGAGTTTCAACGAAGAGTCTCAGTCAAGATGTGATACAATAACCAAGCTAATTAAATTCAGATCTCAGCACCTTGTGTCTGATACTATTCGGCTTACAAATTGCAGAAAAACCTAAATAATTATTGCTAGGAAGTTTTATCAAGAATGGCATACTCTCATTGAAGTGAAAAGTTTTGCTTGATAATGATTTCCGAGACGACTATGAGTAGTGTCTCACAAGTTAGTGCCACCTGACTTTTGTGTCTGATATTCGCTTATTTCAGTCATTTTTCTTTAAAATATTGTCTGCTATGTCTAAGACTTCTACAGCTTTGCAGTCCCAGTTTTTATCAACGCCTTGTATATGATATAATGATAGTAACTGCATATCTTTGACTTGTTGAAAGCTTTTGGTACACGTTTAGCTATAAATTTCCACAAAATTGTAAGTAAACTGAACGATTGTTTTCTTCAGTTTTTCTTCAATTAATCAGATCACTGACAGTCAACGAATATATTCTTCATTTGAATTGCTATCAAATTAAAACCCTCGTTCCTGTTCCTCTGTTAAAGTGTATCAAAAATAAAAGAGAGTTGTGAGTGTCTTGCCATCATTTCTTTTGAATAGTCAAGACAAGTAGGTCAATAGTTTCTATCAAATAGTCATTAGTTAATAACATCTATATGTGATATAATGGAAACTTAAAAACAACATGTCAGCATATTTTTGAGCACATCAATTTACTGGTAGGTACTTCGTTTTTTAACGTGACCATCGCAGGTGAAATAGTAACAGTTATCGTAAGTCCTCCTGCAGATTAACAATGATGAATACACATAAAGATTCTATGTTCAATTAATAGTTACAAATTGTTATTTGTTGGTATTGATGATTTCACATTACAATAATGGATTGAATTGATTGACCACTGTTGGCATATATCTTGATATGAGGATGCCTTCAGATTGCCTGAATATTCATTGTTATAATTTACTTGGTGTTGAATGTATCTACACTATAGTGAGTAATGTTCTCTGCAAACTGGAGTATCATAGCCATCACTTTAAACACAACAGGAAATCATAAGTGTCAATGAAACAATGATAACAAGTACCCACTGCATTAGAGGTGGCTTTCAAACCTGAGTAACTTTGTGGTTAACCCCATGAGATGCAAATGCATCTAGCTAATATGTAATAAACAGGATGAAACATGCATAATGGATTCCACCATTAATCACCATCAGGTAGATTATAATAATTAATTATTAAAATATACACAACTGTGTTTATGTGAATTTATTTATCAGTTAACAAAATCACATTGAGCATGATAAGAGGAAATGGCAAATAATTTTATCAATATCAAAATGTGTATCAATTCATTTTCTCATTTGATTAAGTCTATTTCTTTTGTAATGACTACTGCAATTGTTTCTCCAATCCTTTTGAGTATGTTTCCGTTGGAAATCAGAGTAAAACAAAATGATACTTGTTATGCGTTTACACAAAGTGCCTAATTGTTTATTTGTTGAGAGTAAATTCAATTATAGTTGGAGAAGAAAATTCTTTATATAGAATGAAAGATGAATAAAAATTGTTTTTTATTGTATATATGATATGATTGGAATGAATCAATGGATGAATGAATGAATGAATATGTATTACTTAAGTAAACTCTACAAGCTGTAATTGAATTCATCTACATTAGAATTGATGAATTAGGCTTGTTTATCAAGCGTCTACATATTTTTCACTTGAATTTACTGGAAAAGATGATATTTTTTATTATATCTACACCAGATATGTTCTGATAACAAGACATTTTGTCTTTCACATTCATGAAAACTCATCTCTTTATAGTTAGTTGTCAAAGATTAAAACTCTTTAACGTGTAATGTGATCATAGTGGAAAAGTGTGATGCACGTTACATATTTCTTCTACTTGACAGAAGTTTGACATAAATGAGAATGAAAGTGACAATTTAATGAACAATTTTGTATTTTAAGGATTCGAGAATTTTTTTAGAGTTTTTCAAGGTGTATGAAAGCACAAAGAAGTAAAAACGTTTCTAAAAAATAGGGGAATATAGTCTAGAATACCAGGAGAAATCTTCAGTTTAACAGTGTTTGGTTGGCAAATAAGGAGTATTGACAATTAAATCGAATTTCAAAGTATGAACTGATGTTCTTCAGAGTAGTAAGAAAGTGAGTCCACTCATGTATGTACGTATAGCTATTCATTTTCGACTAACTCAAACCATATCTATATGTGATCAAGACTAATCGAATGATTGGATATTATTCTCAACTTCATCTACTTGGTATATTATTTGCAGAATAAAATAGATTAGTGAAGAGGAGAAAGATAAGACTGGTGAATATGTTTCACGTGTTGTCCTCTCAAGTAATTTTCCATGTCTGCTCATATAAAACTAATGAGACATGCAATTTAAATGGGATACTTTTTTCTGATTATGTTGTTTTGCCTTTATTTTCACATGAGACAATCTAAAAATATTTCCAGTCAAACAACCTTAAGTGAACGATATTTTATGTTTAGCGGGCTGAAATGTTATTTATCAACCATTTGTTTTGTTATTGGTGCATTTAGGCCATCATTCCATTCTAGGATGAAAGTTTCATCGTTTTCGGGACTTATCAGTAGTGCATACCTGCTTCTTTGTTGAACTTTGTTGTATCTACTGGGGCTAGAATCCAACCTTACCAGCTTCAAATGTCATTTAATCTCTTAGATACATCCAATGATTAAGTTTAGTCTTCTCATGGAAAATTGTACAGTTAGGAGAATAGGAAATTGAAAGGATTAGTATTTTCGCTGTAAACGTTTGTTAGTTTTTCAATGACTGAAAGCGGATCTTTCCTTATTTAAACGATTAGAAAAGTTAGGGAACTGTATTTTTTCATTAAAAGGCTCTGATATGGAAGTGCAATTCACGCCTGTTAGAAATAGACTCATGTTCACAATAATATTGTTTGACGTGCACCTGTTTTCTCTCGAAATCACTCATTTCACTGCTAGTTATCTTTTTGTAAAGACAATTTACTTCTCAATTCCCTTTGGTTTGTGTTTTGCTAGTTGGCTAGAAGTCGTTTATTTTTATTACACTATTACTAATCAGTATTTTTCCCTCGGGTTCCTAGTAGAACATAGAGATTCAATAACACGCATCCATTGCACCCTCTTCTCTGCAGTCTTTTCAACCTGACGTCACGACTGCCCACAAGCTTTCGTTTCTTCCTCACATCATTTTCATGTCAACCTCAGTTGAGAAACCTTATCATCTTCTCCCTTTTGCATTCCACTCGAATGACTGGCCTGGCACAAGATGTCCCTATCGGCCTTCTTAGTGTCTGCCCAATCCATCTCTACTTTCTTCTGCATGTTTGTTGTGTGACACGTTCTTGGTTGGTTCGTTGCTTATTCCATCTGGCCACCTGATCTTCAGTATCCAGTCTGCGTGGGTGGCAGCTGTTGATGATGTATGTGTGTAGTTTATTCGAAATGCTTTCATGACACGTCAAGTTTCTGAACCATATAGCAGCACTTACTTGACATTGGTGTTAAAAATCCAGATCTTGTTCTTCATGCTGAGCGGAGTCCGATGAAGTGCAGTGCAGCAGATCTACACACTGATTTCAGATTAGTGAAAGCCTGTCTTGCTGTATTTCCTATCCTGGTTCCGCCATCCTCGTCTGCCGCCGCCACCTGTAGTTGAAACGATGCTGCCTGGTCAGGTAGGTGAAAGAAACAACTTCCTTTAAGTTTCCTCCGTTGCTGGTGACTGGTGCTTGTTGTTGATGTTGTTGGTTGGGTATCTTCATCACCTCCATCTTCTCTACGTTCACTTGAAGCCCCGTCTTCGCTGCCCTACCCTACCTCTTCTTCCCACTTGTTAGTTTTCGCCTGTAGATCTTCGAGTTTGTGCGACATTATTATTATAGGAGTACTAAAATCATTAGAGCTTGTTTAAAACGCATCATAGTACTCTGGATTTATTTGGCGCCAAAAATTAGTTTACATTTCGGATACAGTGACAGTCTGTTTCTATTTTACTGCTGGCAAATCATCATCTTTGATGGGACTGAACCGACCGAACACTCTTGGTATATGGGGTCCTACGCTGCTGCTTTGCTACTGCTGGAATTTTCAGGCCAAGTAAGTATCATGGATAACAGCTTCCAATGAAATCCAGGAAGGACATTTCGCTCAACTTGCTGATCAACATCCGAATCTGTCTGCCTCCCAGCAGGTGATTTTGCTCTCAGTCGGCGTGAACTCTCAGTCAACTTCGCTGTATTTGTCACACATAAAGTGGCTATCGTATCTCAGTTGTTTTGTTTTACCATGAGACTCCTTAGCAGTAGAAATCGACAGCCTGGCTAGGGATTAAATGTTAGGCATTTGGGTGCCAGTCCGTGACTAATACTACTTAAAAATACATTACTGTATGGTGCTCATTAGTGACATGCCTCGAGATGAATATCCTTAGGTTCTCTTGAGAAGCTGTGACCTAGGAAGTCAACCAGTTGGAAGTGAAATGGGTGGTGACTGAATACCTTGGATGATAGTCGCGTTTTATCGCGCACTGACAGAAGTAAGAAAGTATGAACCATTAAATTCGCCTCGCTGGCTGAATAGTTGTCAGTTCGCTATTAAACCTGAAGGTGCTGAGTTCAATCATACACAAAGAGTGGTTGTAGGTGAGTACTGCCATAGAGTAACAAACAAGGTTAAAACATTTGCTTATCGCTCTCATATTTTCAACAGTTCTGCTACTGATGTCAGTCCGTGATGAATAACACATTGAATGATAAAAATGGAAGTTGGGAAAAAAAGACACTTTGAAAGTATATTTCATGGAGTAGAAGAATAAATTG